TAATGAGCCTAATGTTTCCCATCCTCTAGTATTCGATGAGATGGTCATCTGATTTTTCAAGTCGTTTCGCACTCGCAGACCTGCATTCACTCGCGTTAGCCACTGATTCCTTTTCTTCTGCCTTGAGTGCTATTCTGCCTGAGATAGTATCCCGTGTTCATTCTGTTATTTTTCTCTACACAGCCACTATCCTGGATCTTACACCTGAGGTTCGTATTTAGATCAAAGAGGTAACTGCTTTGGCCGGCCCGGGATTAACCTTGGCTAGATGCATTGCCCAGGCCAACCTGCACTCTTCTGCTCTTGTCTTATCTCATCTGATGTGATGGCTCTATCTAAGCATCCTACACACCATTTGACTACAAAGTGTGGGTGCTCATGTGTGGCTTAGTGTTTAGTTGTGAGCGCTCCGGGAACATTATGCTCCGGCATGAATTGGCATACCTGGCTTAAGGACTTTTCCTTTCGAATGTTTTCCTATAATTTGGGCACCGGCGTTGCGTGCGAATTTCCGGGGGCGTTTTATTGTTACATTCATTTCTCCATTCCATGTTATCGCTTCCGTGAGTTTGACCGTCTCTAGATTTTTTTTTCGTTTTTTATTTTTTACTCAACCCATGTTTAATGCTTTCTTTTTTGTACCACTTGATGTTTGAATGTTTCATTTACTCAATTTCTATTAGTAGCTTCCGTTCAATGGCGCACGCATGTGCAATAAATGAATAAATGAATAGACAAAGATCACAACTTCCATATAGCAAGAGGTGGGAACAGCAACACATTCGGATACATTGCCGAGCGTGATCGTTTGATGGTCACGTATTACCTATTGGGAGGCATCATGTTGCGTGGCTGCCATGATCTCCAGATTTTGAGCGTCGAACGCTACCCACTCAACGACACTGTGGCGTGGTATTCCTTCCTCGTGTGTTTCTTTTAAGGGCTGCAGTGGGACCTGAATTCATTTATGTGAGTGGCATTGTGCGACCGCATCGAGCACTACAGTTTGAAGACTCCCGGAACGAGAGGACATCCGGCGAAAAGAGTGGCTTGCCTATTCCCGACCCCACCAAGTAAATGTAGAGTGCACTGGAGAAGCATTTTACAGCATGTCCAAATGTATCAAAGACCATCCAGCATTTCTCAAATGCGCTGAAAGAGGAATAGAATGCTCTTTCAAAGAAACTCCTCACGAACTCCGTGGAAAGCATGAGAACACGTTGAAGAGCACGTGTTGCTATCCGTGGTCATCACGCTCCCTATTAGGAACTCCATCACTTGTTTTGAAGCACCACGATAAAATGTGAAGACATGTGCAATCGATGTCTCTGAATAAAAAGTTATATCTATCCGTCATTCTTGCTTTCTGTGCGATACGACTGGTCCTCTATTCGCAGGGGGTAAAATTCATCGAGCAAACTAATCTGTCAGAGGTACGGTAATCGAAAGTTGCTCTCGTTCTTAAATTTTGCATACATGTTATGTTATACTCGTGATCGAGTAATTTTTATGATTGGCTCGATAATTTATGTGAAGCTCGAATGCCCGGCCCCAAATGCTGGATGCAGCAGAACTTCCACACCTCTGAAGCATGTCATGTCAACCCGGCCAACATCGCCCATACCCTTTCCGGCCTCTGCCACTTCTATAAATACTGCAGCTCATACCTCTCTGCATCTGTCTTCCTTTCCCGCACCTGCGCGGAGCTTTGGATGCTCAGATGTAGATTCTTGATTGCCAGCTTGCCTTGCCCAGATTTTGATAAGACGTCTCTTGGTAACTTGGAACTAAACGCTTTCCTTATGTCGTGGTTATTTTCGACGAGCAAAATGTGTACGCGATGATGTTGACTATAAGGTATGCCCCATAATTTCACAACAGGGGGAAGTGGTTTTTGATCGCGAATCTATCTCCCTGCAGCGGTGCACAAAAACGAAATCTCGTGCAAGAGGGCGAGCCGGGATGGTGCGTGAGTAGGCAATGGTTTTACACCGTGCAGACTGACATGATCTGCCTCTTTCATTATGTTTAATCTATTCCTATCCTAGCAATATATTTCATGAGCATCGAAATGCTTTCCGACCATTCTTCTGAGCATCAACCATTGAGCTGATGTTGGTTACAGCCAAGGCCTAAAGAAAAAATATGTCTATGTATATATGTTTGAGTTTCTAATTAGTATTCAATCAGAGAAAGAGTAACTTGCGATGGAAGTGCCTTCTGAGGCGCTAGAAAAATAGGTCTATTGAAGGCACAGTCCAAGAATAGCCTCTGGTCGTGGAAGTACCGTGGTAAAAGGAACGCAGGATTTTTCAATTTGTGTGTTACTGTTCTTAACCACAGCGTACAAAACTGAGTTCTTTTTAGCAGACTAACCTCTATGTGATGAAACATACAAAGAAAACACCATTCCAAGTTGGAGTACCGAGTATTATCGAAAAACACCATTACCGTGTTGTAGTACCAATGTATTATCAATAAAATACAATTTCCAAAAGTAGAGTGGTAAAACCGATATAGACAAAATGATTTGTCACCATTTCAATTTAGAAAGTACCATGACCGACCTTCGATGAATTTCGGCATGATATATGCGATTTAAAGGGATCTTATGAAGTCTCAGTCAAAAGATGTAACTCCTTATACGGCCAACGTTTCGTCGTTGTCGCCTTCGTGAGAGTTTGGAGGCCAGAAATAATTCAGATTCATCCACGACAAACACCATTTCAGACCTCAGCTTAGTGCAAGTATAGCTTATATTACACATAGGTATCTGAAAAGGTCTCGCAAGTTACAGTTGGGCAATTATAGCCCACACAGGTTGAGGAACAGGGCGAGTTCACTCGTCATGGCCAGGCATTCGTTTTCGGTCCATTTTGAGGTTTTTGCGCCGATTCTAAACGTTTGCAAAGTTTTGCGCGTGTAGGTCGCGGTCTCCCACTTTAAGATCCTGATTAAGACTTCAAACTACGTTCTTGTGGCATTGCTTACGATGGTCTCCGAGGGGTTCAGGCCTTTATTTCTTCAGAACAGCGAGGTATTCCTTGATCCTACATATGAAAGGCCGTCCGGTCTCACCTATGCATTTAGCTGCAGAGCTCGCAATTGATAAAACAGATCCACCTGACGCCATGCAGTCCGCTCTCGCCCGTTGGGGCAAATGACACAATGGGGGTAATGCATAGACTTCATGCAAACGACTTTAAATCACCTTTTTCTTGAGATTTGTAGCAGGAACTTCGAACCACCCGCACCATGTCATCAAGACCACACTTGCGCAGAGCCGTTCTCACGTCAGAACTGGCGGAGTCCTACACGATGGAAGGCAGAAAGGCACCTTCTCCGAACCTTGCTCATGTGGTCTGCTACGGGGGGAGGGGGGTCTGCGAAGGCAATGCTCCTTCAAGGGATGCCCATAGGTGACCGTCACTTTTGAGCGAGCTCCACAGATTTTGCTTTCTAGTGATCACCCGATGAGACCATTTCTGCTGTTCTGATCATGTTTGGTGTGATGACCCGTTTCGTTTTGAGTGGATGCGGCGACTTGAAATGAGCAGGGATATTCTCACCGGTGGATTTCCTATATATCTCCTCAAGCTGCACTTGCATGCTAAGGAAGGGCAGCCATTTGTTTTTCGGCTTTCTCATGTGAATCTGATATTGTCAGCTTGGTTGCTTAGCAGTTCGGAACGTATTCACTCCCACCTGATTGGACAGGCGACAAAATAGTCGCCTCCGTACGGCAATAGAGCACGAGGCGGCAATCCAAAACGGGCTTTCTTGTATTCGACATGTAGACAATGGCTAGCACTGATGCCAGCAGCTGACCCGAGGCTAATCCCCAATTTGCTTGAAAGCCCGGGTCAATAATCGCTTCGAGGTAGAACGGCCATACATGCTTATAGACCCCGCATACTCATTCAACAGCTCATGGGTGGCCTGCATTGCGCTCCGATTCAACACCTCTGTGCAGAAGGATATCTTGTCAAATGGCTCCATGATGTGGTTCCTCCTGAATCGAGCCTCTCGCGATTGGTCAAGCAATCTCCTGGCGTTGCTGAGGTGAACGGGGATAAATTTTAGTAATTGGATCAGCACAAGGTTTAACAGCCGTAAAAGCCTATCGGTAAGACCCCCTACGCTACTTAATATGGGACGATGAAGGTACAAGGGATCTTGGGAAGACCGTGTAATTGGTGAAAGTATGTGATTTTAAAAAGGACAGAGAGAATCGGACAGACTGGTGGGCACGCTTCAAACGTGTGCCTAAAGCTTCGGTAACTCTTCTCTACTCGCTGTGTCCAACCGAACCCTGGTCAAATGACGGTACTGCATTTTGTATTCTCCTTGTCGGTGAGCTCTTTTGATGGCAGTGTTCGGATTTCGTGACATAACCACGGCTCGCCTCCCTCGTCCCTAACCGGAATCTTGATGGTTTCTCAGTTCGCGAAGCCCCGTTTGTGCGCTGCAGTAATTTTGGAAGCGGGTGCTGCCTCAGAATTGAGAAAACGGATATAGCGAAGAGGCAGAATTTCCGACGGCATGATTGGAGGTCTGAAGTATGGGGAGAAGAAGGTTGTGTGGGCTGCAATTGCCACCGGCTTTAAGTCGGGGATCAGGCCTTGCGCAGTCCACCTTGCGAAGATGTTTAAATGAGCAGTCTGGAAGGTGGTTCACAGATCATCTTCTCTACATGCAAGCTGGGTTCTCAGACGTGACTTACGAGACCTTTTCAGATATCTACAAGTAATAATGGAACTAAGCTGAAGTCTGAAATGGTGTTTGACATGGATGAATCTCAAATACTTTGGCTTCCAGGCTCTGACGAGGGCGACGCCGAAACGTCGGCTGAATGAAGAGTTATAACAGCTTGGCTGAAGCTTTACAAGAGCATTTTTATATCGAGACGTATTTTAGTTTACATTGGTGAAACGAAAAAAGAGCGACAAAAAAAAAAACGAGAGATTAATTAAATCAGTGATCAAAACATGAAAACGTGTTCATTTGAAAGCCTTCTGAAACCATCTGATGAGGTTGATGGATGCATCCGCGTCGGCATCCACTTCGTCGATTGGATGTGCAGATGAAGGGTAGGTGAGAACTCTGCAATGAAAAAGTGAGTATGTTGTAGCGAAAATTTCTTATAGTAGAGAAAAAAATTTGATATTCATGACAGAAAGCAAAGAAAAAAACCATCCTCAAAACTCGTTGGATGTAAAAGAAGTCGGTAATTAACTTATGACCCAATAAAAATGTTAACACGTTGACGACGAGAGCGTTTTTCGTTTGCGCGCAAACGCGACGAGACCGTTTGAAAGCGCTGACTAATCGTCGGTCACCATTGACAGACATGGTCCCACGAATAGAAAGCATATTCAGTTTTCTGTATTCATAAGTAATAAGCTTGTATTTGTGCAAAACAAGTAAAAACTCGTGGGAACAAAAGAAAAACTTGCATTTTGTCAAGATTCGGGTGAATTCTCCAAAATCATGCGCTTTGTAGACCATTTCGGTGTATGAGACTTTGAATAGTGAACATTCACAGAAGGCACTCTTTAAACGTTTGGCAGGAACAAGATTCGAGGTAAGGCGCCAATTGTTGGAAAGAATTCAAATTTTAATTGTTATCTGATATGATGTATGACTCCTTACCGGTACTTAGGTACTTAATATTTCCATAAAAACCTTAGATTTAGAAGGATCATGGGTCCACGCGAAATTTGTGAGTAAATAAAATGTAAAACATAAAACAAAAAAACCTGAGAATTTCTTCATTTGGCTGACTTACAGAACTGTCGGTCACCATTGACCGACATCGTCTCACGAGACAGACTGGCTGTCAGCCAACATTGACCGACACTGTCGTCAAAGTGTTAAAGGTGTTGTCAATTCTCCATGTCAGTGGCCACATAAGCTCATCGAAAGTGTGTTGTTCGGGTAAAGGTACTGCGATGAAGTTATGTACGATTCTTTTGAACATATCTTCAATTTGGCCCAGAGAATGTATTACGTCAATGTAAAACTGGATGGTGTCTCTGCTGATCATCTTACTGGAAGCATCGAAATCTATTGGAGAAACTCAAACAAGTGGAAATAGACTGTAAATATTATGAAAAACGATTCATTGAGATAAAATATAACACTACAAGAAACACTGACACCCTGCCCTCCCTTCTGTTATTGGCAAGGATGAGGTTCATGTAGATTGAATTAAATTTTCGGTCACAACGCGTCATCAAAAAAGGCCGCAATTGGCCAGTCCGCAGGAGGATGGCATTGGGTCAGGAAAGGGTATTTAGTAGTGTCTCGGCTTAAAAAGAAAATCTTATTTCCTCCCTCCCCTTTTCCAGCATGACTATTTCATCATTGCTTTCACTTAACCCCAACCTTACTCAACTAATAAATTTTTCAAGATTGATTTTCTATTCAAATTTTCGATGCTGAATTATCTTCCGACTACTCCTAGGCATAAGTCTAGTCATCCATCTCTCCCCATTTCGGACAATGCGTGATGGCCGGATTACATGAGGGAGAAGAGTAACCAGTCTTGGAAGTTGTATAAGACAACTACTTCGTATATGACAATATGACAACTGCTGTAGTAGAACATTATGTATGGGTTCTTCCCACTGGCGCTGACTCGCCTTATGGTTCAACTTAGAGAGATTGACAAGAGTCGTGGGTCAACATCCAAAAACAAAAAAGTGCTTGAACTATACAAATGGGTTTCAAGCGGGACTACGATTCTAAAGCGCTCGCGATTTGATCACTGATCATTGTCTTTTTTCATGTACGTACACTGTCTACACTGGTATGTCGAGCGCGGCAAGTTTTGCATGATGAGGAAGCTGTCTTTTTTTCTGGTGGAACGAGGGCAAAGGAAAAGAACATTACCTGACTGCACCAGAAGATTTCGAAGACGTCTCTGTCGAACATTCACCTTTACTATCGACTTCGGGACTATAGGCGAACAGAATGACCACACCTCGGTGTCGCCTTATGGGCTATGAAAAACGCTACGCTTGAAGGCTACCGTCACATGTAACGGAAACGAGGACCGTACGTTCTGGATTCGGTATTTCACATATGCTAAGCAATAAGGATCCACTTGAAGCCTATCATGGTATTAGATGATGACCTGTTGAGCTTTCGACCAGAGTGCCATACAACAGGGGTGGGCCGGCCCATTTCAAGATCAGTGGCGTTCGCTCGGATTTTCATAAACACATGTGCACCTGTTGCAATACACAGATGTGTTAGATATTTCGAAGATTTGAGTTTAGGGAAACCCAGACTATTTTCTGATTTCTGAAATTTTTTGAAACCTCTTCAACACTGCATCCGAAGAAAACTGCGTGTTCCCTTAACCCGATTATCAATCACTTGGCTTCATAGAAGATAGTTTCTCCGAGTGCAATGAAATAATCGCCAAGAAAAATATTTCAAAGCAGATGCTGTGTCCCTGTAAAGGTAGATATTGCGTACTTCACCAATTTCTTGAACGCAGTTGCAATTCGACAAGCTGATTGACATGGAAACCACTCCACCTATTGCGAATAACGGGTTCACCTGCGACAGAAGAGGATTGTCGTTAGTTCTAAATTCATGCAGCACTGTATTTGATTGAGAACTCAACCCAAATAAACAAAACTAAACTAAGAGTATTACTGGCTTCAGATTATCGTTCTCGTTCTTCCATTTCCAAAGGCTATTCCGAGTTCGAAGTGACGCTCACTTTTCCTTTTCCTTCATCTGTCCCTTGTTATGTGGTCATCTCATTTAGAGCTGCGGATACTTGACATTGAAACACGTGTTGTCCCGCCATCTATGTACGACTGGGAACATGCTCCAGCGCCTTCATTCATCTACAGCGAGCTGATCCACTGCAATCACAGACCTGCACAATGTAACGGCCATTCTTTGGAGCACTTGATTTTGGTCGACCCTTCGTCATTTTCGTGCAGCAGTACCAAAGGTTCGCAACGCTTCCATGCATGTGAAACTATGCGCGAGCGTACCGAGCCCTTGTTTTGCACTCGCTATGGTTAGACCTTCTTCGAGTTTACCGATGATCCTTCCTCGTGTGAAATCACCCAGAAGATGTCTGCGAGACATGTTGCATCGAAAGATACCACCATAGTAGTTTGCATCTACTCGTTGATTGAAGGAACGTTTTTAATACTTATCAACCGCATCGATTTAACCGTGCAGCCATATTTCGCGACTAATTTGAGCTGCTCTCCCTCGAACAAAGGGAAGCTCGAATTAGTCGCGAAAAGCCGGCTGCTCGGACAAAGCTTTTTGTGCATAACCGTTATACGTCTCTCACGCATTTATTTCCACCCAGTCATTAATGTTTAATGATACTTTATCCATCTGTTTTGCACACCAGCGTATTCTTGATGAGAGTCGCAAGTAATTTTGCTGTCACTCATATCCATTACATGTAGAAATCCAAAACTTTTTCCGCAAGAATACTACAGTTTAACATAACGGAATATGTTTAGGTTGCAATTTGGAAATACATAGCATATGTTGGCTACTCAAAAAGTGCAGAACACATTCATAGTAAATTATTCAACTTACTTGCACGGGATTCCCCTGGCCAAAAGATTCCGTACGAAGGCGCGATAGTGAGGAGGTACGCGCAGATCCTTCTCACCGATGAGAAGCAGATATGGGGTGACAACCTTAAGCCAAAACTTCGGTATGTACATATGACAGTTTACGGAAGCAGAATAGAAAAATAGCGGGAAAATACGCCATCAAAAAGCAACCTTCTCTACATGAACGATAGGTGAACTGTTGAACATCATTTTTTGCTGCTCTTCAGTCACAACTTTGGTCCAGTCACCGATTTCTCCCGTCCCTTCAACCAAAGTCCTGAACATCACAGAAAATTAGGATTGATTGCCATACCCCATTTCTATATAAGACAGTTCTTGTCAGTCTGTCGTTCAATCCAGAAGTAATATCAGCATCAGACGATATTGAGCTTCCATTGACATCTACGTTCTATTCGATATAAAGGTTTTTTGAGTACAGAGAAAACAAGCTCAAACGATTTTTCGAATGCAAGGTATGGAAACAATAATAAAGTCGAATTTTCCATCACGCGCTTGACATGCCTGATGAGATATCTGCAGGATGTTTGTTTTGAATTGAGAAACTACCAAAAGGATTAGGAACGGTAGATGAATCATCATAAGCAATCTAGCAAATTCGTGTTGATTTAATTTTTTCTATTTTGCAAGCAATATGACGACTTCTATGTGATTGTTCGTTCTCACATCAAATCTCTTTTTGGTTGTATGTATATAACACCTGTTTTCCCTTCACATCAATCTTCCTTAAGAAACATCTCGAGATTGATGATCACAGCAAAGAAAAAGTACGCATTCACCATTCTGGTATATCTGTGATATCGTGCATAGCAACCATGTTGAGTACTGGATTGTGTGCAACGCAGGACTTGTAGAAACCCTGAAGGGAACAATGTGAACACCCACACTATTAATATCGATATAATGCACTGGAGTAAAAATAACACTACAGTTAAATAATGAATTAAATTTAATGAGTTACGTAACAAGAGACATTGAAGATTCCTACAGGCAGATGCGAGAATACTAGTCCTGATGGAAAAACACTTCAGAGGGCTACCAGAAAACCGCAATTTCAGTCGATTTGAGGATTACGCAACTGTTCTACGAAATTTCCTCATTCGCGACAAAGATCACTCAACAATGAGTAACGAACGCCCTTGGTCGACTTCTTCACAGTTCTATAATGCCAGGACCACAGATGGAACTTTCTTCGGTAGCAGAGGCTTCTCAATTGGGCGCACTAGAGATTCTCTATTATGAGTTGCACCCGCGCTATGCATGGACACAGATCTTTTCCCATAACTAACAAAGGATGGATTCAAGGTCATAGTGGCAATTTGAAATTCGAAATATGAAGCCGTACGCGCTTAGGGTGCTAGACCGCATTCCATATCTCTGTGACACTATTCGAAACAAAATCCATTTCGATTTTACAGTGTCAGCATAATCCCACGCACTCTTCTTCAAAAACTTTGTAATCGAAATGTGCAATTTCTTCTCGAAAGAAGGATAACGGGTCGGGTTTCCGACATTGTCATAGGAAGGAAGGCGGCCCGCGTGGGCCGTATAACCCGATTACATTCTTACAACCTATAACATGGTCACGTCCGCCTGTCTCTGCCATGAAATTCGATATTACCTGCAGAAGACAGTGTCTTCGTGACACACTTTGGCATTCCTGTGTAGGAAATTACCAAGGCAATCATGAAAAAAAGCCGAGTTCCAGGACTGCTCGGCAATATTATTCGCTGCATTGTGGCTAATACCTGTGGAAGGGTAAGAAAGGTGAAGTCCCTCTATTCAGTTAATCGTTACAGTATGTCTCTACTCAGTCAGAATATATTGAAGCGCGACCAACAGAGTAAAAAGTATGGTTTTTGGTTTTTTCCCGACAGTGCATGTGTGTAAGTGCGCCCTTTGCCACTATCCCTCCCTTAATCAGACACTTTTTGACAAAGTTTCTTAGCAGTCATCTCGACTTATGTGATGCACTGTGTCGGAAGCCGTGATACTTGATAAATTTCGAAGTATCTGTAACAACGTCTTCGATGGGTGGTGGTACTTCTACCAAAATCCCCACGGTGGTTCTGCGGCAGCTACCGTGTCCTTTCATTTAGAATTCATAGCGTGGCATCGGGTGCGGCAAGCGTAACTCGATTTTCATGGAGAGCTACCCCACCTTTTCCGACTAAGTACTCATTACTAATGAACCTTTTTAAATTCACAGCTATGAACTATTCGTCAAGATAATGTGGGATTACTAGAGTAATTACGAAAAGTCAAGTGGTGAAATAATTTAGGTATTTTCGAAAAGATAATGTGTTACTGTAACCGTCCCTAATTTCGTTAGTTTCATTGTACGCTGTGGGAGCTTTTTGAGGTCAAGCATTACAATAGTATTTATCAACTGCTAGCCGCAAATATTATAGTTAGGTGACCAAACACAACTGTGGTAACAGCGGAGAGATTGCTCGCCCAAAAACTCGTTTGAATTGCTACGTGGATTGTGAATCTCTGAGGTGTTATAGCACGGCTCAGTTTCTCAGTATTGCCGAAGACGACCAGCAGCGTATTGGCGGATAGAGGAGCCATTATGGCTAGGAGCCGCGACTGAAGAGCCTTCTCGCTATTTATAGCCCTGGGCCGGGTGCAAAGTCAATATCCCAAACTTGCGTAATTATTGACCGCTGTACTTTAACGATGTCAAAAAGGCGCGTAGATCACTTTCACTTGTTGGTAGTCGATCCCCCACTATTACTATGCAGTTACTATTGCGACTGCATAAACCGAAGAACGTTATTACGAGTATTGTATTATAGCAGTTGCTACATAGAGACAAATGACGCCGCCACTACGTGAGGTGTGAACGAGGTTCGAACATCGTATAATGAGGAGGAAGCTGGTGGTGGTAGCTGAAGCTACTTTATTCTTTATGAGCCGCCCATCAATCCATTGCCCCTGCCGAATACAAATTCAGTACAATACAATGCTGAAAGCAGGGCGGAACATTGCGAAGAAGCGCTAGTCAAGTGCCGAATATCTATCAAGAGCTCTGTAAACCCGGTTAGGGTGGCTGCTCTCGGAACGATAAAAAAATGCAAGGAAATTATAACCGGCGTACGAAGTATTTTTCGAATTTTTGCGGAGCAGTTATCTTCGTAAACAATGCAAGGTCACAACTCGTACAGAAAACAACTGACTGGGTACTGTCCGATGAGATGCGATACCAAAAATCCTCCATGTGATGCACCGTATAATACAACAGAATCTCGACTGAGGCGCGGTTCCGCATCCAACACTGTGAGTACGGCATGCTAAACATATTGAACACGATTCAAAACATTGTCGTGGTAGTCAAAGAAAATAAAAGATGGAGAAGATAATTTTCAGAAAAGCTAGACTCACTGAGCTTTAGTTCCTAATGCCATCTGGTTACAAAAATACAGTACGACATGTTACTCTTACAGTAGCGCTGGCTCGAACGAGCGTGTATCGCAATGCAAACTCTTTACGGTGAATTTTTGTTCGTCTAACGTGCCGTTCTGCTGTACCATGGGGTATCTCAAGTCGATGATTTTGAGACTAATCAAACAACGGTCCAGGATTTGAAAGTCAAGTAGTTCGTGCGATAACGCCAGCTATGCTAAGACCTGTCAGTGAGAATTCAGTATGCGACTTAGCGTGTCAAAATGGCGGTCACGACCTCACTGAAGTAATATTCAAAAAATAAACAAAATAAATAATTGTTGAACTGTGTAGGCTTGAATTTTAATGTACAACAATGTACAAATCGAAATCTCCATTTGTTTTCTTGAGATATGTTGCAATATGTAACTAAAAAACTGTTTCTGTGTGTTTTTAATACTTAGAATCGTGCGGTCTGACTGCCTCACCCTATATGCAATTCTACTATGAATGGATAAAACCTACAAAGGATGGTACTTATGGAAGGTGCTAAATGGAAAATTGAAGGAAAGGATTCGAAAGCTATGAAGTCAGTTTTAATTCTGAATGCAGAAGTGATATATAACTACGCTGTAATTAGTTGTAACTGTAATTAGACTTTAACTTTTGCATCGAGACTTCCGTGAGTCTAACTGATGATGTGTCATAATGCGATTGCGATTGCTAAGAGGCTTGACTGAGGCCGCTGGCAAAAGATACCTGTCGAAACTTTCGCGTTGCTCCCCGTATTGATGACTGAATTAGGCATTCATTTTGACGCCGCCTTGCATTTCTAGGAAAACGCCCCTATGTAATGTCAGATTAATATTGGTCCACATGTGCAGTGATGATGATGATGAGATTTTAGTCATGAAGTTGGAGAGTTCACAAAATAACCCGACATTTGGTAAAAGAACATATTGAGCCCAGAATTCAGATTACCACCTTTGTCTCAGCAGTGTCATAGGCCTTTTGTGAACCCGCTGAATGTTAGACATGACGGCACCTTGTACTATCGCATAAATTCAGTGAACCTTGCAAAGGGGAATAGGACCCTTGTTTGCTGGCACAGCCCTTCACCCAGTGGTCTGACCGCAAGGGATGTTTGAGGCTCAAGACACCACGCTTATAGACCCATTTCGTCATTGTTGCCTACAGTTTTAGTGATTCCAAGAAATGAGTATTTCGTATTCCTAAAAGTATTAAAGTATCGCCGCATGGTTTTGACGATTGACAAGAGGCTTTCAGATATTCCTGTCAAGCTGTTTTATCCTGCAGCAAGTAACAAAAGAAAATCTCAGCTGGACTCAAGAAAGTTTGCAGGAAACTAGAGAAACTTCAAAAATCAAATCACTATTTCATTTAGGTCCCACCCACCAAGTGTAAGAGAGAAAGTGTTCACAAAAGGGTTTTGTCGCAACATTGACTAATCTTGCGGATAAAGCCGCAAAGTGCAATTCACGCCTAATGTACTGACTGACTCAACACACGATACTTCCACACGATACCATTGTGCGAAACTGTTAAAACTGCCGTAAAAACAGAGACCGCAATGAAATTTGTAACGTACATGTACATCCTTGACGTCCAGGTCGCCGCACTTACCGGGCAAAGACCGAACAAAGTCATCTCCAAAACCAAGCTGAAACAATTCCCTTTCGCAGAACCACGAAAGTAATAACATGAACGCTCCGGCGACACGATAATACTCACCGAACCATGATAATTGACGTACAAAAATGCAAATCCAGAGTTGATCAATGAAGTCACACTGCGACGGGGCCATCTGAAAGAGCCGGGTACTGAGCGTTATGTAGCAGAGGGTAAATTGGAAAATCCAATGCTACATTACTTATTGTTAAATACTTTACTGCACATAGTTTGACCAATGTGATCGATCTTTAAGAACAAGTCAGGGTTGTGGAAGTACTCCAGGAAACCTTATCAGGTAATCACAATCCCGCTCAATCGAAGACGCAATTGCTTGCAATCAGGGATCACCTACCAAATTCTTTGCCACATCTGCGAAGCTGAGTAAATAGGCGAAAAAATATATTCTCTTTCGAACGAGAATTCGAAAACATTTGAAGGGACTAAGGAAATTTCGCACCTAAACACATTGAGGAATGCATCGAGTTCAACGTCATTGATGGTTAGGAATTTCAAATCCAGTACCCATCTTGGCACCAACGCGTGAAAGATGTTATGCTTTTTGTATTGCCGCTAGGGAAGCTTGGATTGCTGATAGTGAAGCACAATTGGATGGGATTGAAGAGCCGTAAACAGTGACCTCGCGCATTTTATGACTTCACCAATTTCGGATTGGACAAAAAGAAGATGGACCTGCTTACGTACACAGGAGTTTATTTTTGAATGGTCGATCTTGCAAAAGGGCAGATGAAAGCAGGATGAGCCAAGTGCTACCCTTGTAATGATCGGGTGCAAAGGGGTTTCTGGTTAAGAGGACTGTCTGACCCAATGTGAGGATCAATCTTGATTGGTTGTGCAGCCTTCAGCCACGATATTGGGCGTGTGGGCCGAAATGTCAACTCAATAAAATCGATAACATTGAAAAGGCTAATGCCAGTACACTCAGAAGCAAAAACTTCTGCAAAGATAGAGCCAGGAGAAGGTCAATCATAATCAATTCTAAATTCCGTACATTGCACATCGTTTTCTCACTAATTGTTCATTTGTTTTCGGGAAAAAGATGTTTAGAAGCTTTAAAACAAATGTGGTCAAACCCTCCAAGTGGGCAGAGTTTGCTCTAAAGTGGGCGGAGCTTTGATCAAAAGTTTATAACTCTGTCAGGAAACGTTCTATAACGCGGAAAAAAATAGTTAGAGGTTAGAAACAAATGTGGTCAAATCCCCGAAGTGGGCGGAGTTGGCACAGGGGGCGAGGTCATGTTCATAGCTCAGTTCAAAAACTCTGTATAAAGCGAAGAAAATGATTATGAGCAGTTAAAATAATGGTAGCCAATTTTTATAAAGCGGATGGTCTGCACTGAGGTGGGCAGGACTATGATCAACAGTAGTAATCCTGCTCAAAAGAAATATATCAAGCGTGATGCTATCAGAGCGGTTCAGCGTTCAAAACTAGAGAGAACTATCTTATTCTGATGATCCAACATTCCGCTGAATGACTCCATCGTAGATGAGCGGTTATGGACATATAGAGCACGCGTCAGGATGAATAGCCCAACTGGTGTTGGTGATAACATAGGCGCCTTTTTCTGGCCAGTGGTTGTGTAGACTTGCGACGATTGTCCAAGGTTGTATAGAACCAGCATGTATCGGGCCGATCAAAAAGTTCAAAACGTTTTTATTTTTGGATTCAATTTCAGGATTGTTTGGACCTTTTCCACCAAACATATATGTATTCTATTCGGAAGAGCACTCATTGCTATGTGCTATCACAATCGCTTTTTCTTATAATTTAATTAATCACCTCCTCTGGTTGGTTAGTTCTAAAACTTCACTGTCAAAGGTAAGGCCGCTTTTTTTGTTGAACACTTCGAACAATGAGCGAAAAGGTTATAAGCCGTGGAAGGTAAACACTGAAAGTGGAGCTTGTGGAATTGATGGAACGAGGGAATACGGTGAACACGTTTGATATCGATGCTTTGGCTGCGCCTTTCCCTTCGAGCCAGTTCGAACGCCCATAACTATTTGGGTAACTGTCGTATTTTGCAGTTCCAATTCATAAGGTGAACAATTCCAAATATTATTAATATACCTATGTCTCCATCCATAGTTCCATTAGAGGTTGGCCACCCTTGTTTTTCTTTTAACCCAACATCCTCGCAAGACATTACTGATTACGCTATTGCCGATATGTCGGGCCTACATAACACGTGCAGCAAGTCAACGCGAACCCACTATAGACATATCTTCACTGATTCGCGCTCAACATACATACATCTGAAACGAAAGTGTTGTTCACTGACCCAACGATCGACAATCCGTGCGGACCACCATGGGGACAAACAACCAATGGTAGAGAGCTGCCCTCGTTCGGCATCATGAGGACCCCCTCATATGGCGTCTCACCTGAATCAGCACTTGTACGCAGATTTGAGTCACATATAGAATAATATTCATGAAATAGCATATGAACAAAACTAGACTGCATATGCTTTCATCGGTCACCAGGACTAAATTAAACAACACTGCTGAGCTGTACCTTCACGTTGGAAGCCCATAAGTTGCCATGAATAGTTCAAAAGATTTTTCCGTTTCTCAATTATTGAGTAATTGTCAAGTCTGGCCCAGACAATCTGAAAAGCCAAGATCATTTTACTAAAGAACTTACGTGATATGTGGCTCTAAAAAAAATAGCGGTTCCCTCTTGACAGCTTACCGTGTCTTCCTGACCTTTGGCTGGAATTTTCCCGAGCAGTAAAGCAGGTGGTCGATTCGGAGCAGAAACTACAGCCAGGATCTCGTCTTCGCATATGTCCGCAACTTGCCAACTTCCATGGCACTGACAGTGATTTGTCAGCTTGGCAACATCACCGTTGTCCACATCCACTGCTACCAGTTCCTGCAGTAGAACATAACCACCCACTTCATTACATATGACTCCGTAACACAAAAGGCACCATTTTGCTTCCCCAGGCTGTACCAATAATCAAGCGACTTCCATCTGCAGTCCAGCTTCGCTGCGACATCTGAATGAACGACAGACCAGGAAATTGACCGGGACGATCAACTTTTTGCACCGTCGGTACAACGATGACTGGAGCAGATCCATCGTATGGCCACGGTACCTGAAACAATGAGTGAAAATTAGGAACATGAGCATACACAAAGCGTCAAAAAATAACGACAAGTAATTCATCAATAGCTGAAAAATTGAAAACTATATATTTTTCGTTTGATTGCAGCTAAACTTGCACATTTGAATTATGAAGAATAGGCCTGCGAGACAGGCTACATGGGTTGCAGATCACGGGGTGAGGAACTGCAATCTATTCACTCATTGGTGCCCTTGTAGTCTAGAAAAGACTGTTAGTGTTCAGAAAACATTGGATTTCAAAAGTACTTCGTAGCCGTGATCCTATCTGAGATCATCTACATAGTGTCATGAAGCATATGCACTTTCCCGGGAAAACCAGGAGAGACAAAACAAGTTTAAGACGGGGGTCGTTGAAGAGCACGGATCAATGTAGAATCCATGTAGAATGAATCAAATAGGCGCAGCGGTATTAGTCAAATACACGACGCGAAGGGCCTGTCCGTTACCCGAAGGGCTTCATACGTGTCTCTCGTACGGTCAAATTTTTCGATGCCCTCTGAACGATGGGTTATTTCAAATCGACGCGCTGATGGACACAGCCAACACCCCCCCCCCCCCCCTTACCCCTCCTCAACATGCTGTTTATCTATTCCTTGTGCACATTGTTATTATTCTTTGACTAGTGTTATTATTCTTCGAGTTCATTACCTACTGCGGAACCCGTACACCACGCTGGATGCACCTCCACACCATACAGCTTCCAAGAAATCTTTCCAGTGCTGGTGGCTATCCTGAGTTCAGTCCCAAAAATACCTTTTAGACTCAGATATGTTCTCCCTTTTCCGAATTTGTTTTCTGCTTGGAAGCCAATGAACCGATCGCTGCAGTTCATAATCGACTCGCCCATCACTCACTATCTAGAAAATATGGGCCGAACCCCTATTAGCTGGCCGCAGTCTTCTATTCTTTTCCCAAAGGCATCACACAATATTGTGATTACGGTTTATGGATCAACTGTAAGAATATAGAGATTCGCTTACATCTGCGTGACACATTGGCCTTGAACCTTTTTGTTAGTAATTTTTATATGATCCCATGCAACGCTACTCTTCTTTCATATGACTACGGCAAAGCCTTCACGTATTGCGAGACCTTTCGGCAGAAACCTTGAGAACAAACTATATACAATTTGATCGAGTTGAACTCATTATCAAGTGGATTCACTCTGCACCATTACTACAAAAAAACAAACGAATGATTGGCACCCATACCTTCACACACTCCATCACAGCTTGATGTGGTCCGTCGGCAGGACGTTGAAAAAACACTAAAGTCTTGCCGTCCGGAGAAAACGTAGGATGCTCTGCAGCGATATTTTCATTTCCAATTACGTGAATTTTTGCAGAACTCAATTCGAAGTAGTACATAGCACCACTGAAAACTTTTATAGGATGGCAATTTAAATCAACAAAGATTACAAGATAAAATCTGAGCAACCTACGGTCTGTTATTGCAAGCTATTCTCCCCAGTTTGAATGGCTCTTCACGCAGACCGAAAAACACAATCCCAGCATCATCTGGTGCCCAGATTGCCTTCAAAGAACTCCGAGTTTTCAAAACTATTCCATAAAAGAATGTTATCTACTGCAAAGAATATTGTCTTATACAAGAGACTGCAACAAACTAGTAGCAGCTCAATGAGGATAAAGGGAAAGGGTGCCATCAGACTCACAAAGGACGGCGATATTCCCAGAGGAATTTGGTCAAGTGCGGTGACTGCTCCAGAGAAGATATCTACGATGCAGAGCACTGGTCGCTTCACATCTCCACAAGACTCACCCCATGATTCGTGAAGTTCGTACTTTTTTCCCTAAACGTGATTAACTTTGATGATCCTGATGATACGATGTGATGTCACAATCTCGAGGAGTGTGAACTACAAAAACGCCCATATTTAGCACACATGATAGCAGCCTGCAGTTGCGAACTAAGAGCAAACTCAGATTACGGGGCTGCTGTCGATTACAATTTCTCTTGCAAGACCACCAGAGAAGAGGAGGAACCAATCAAGAGAATGCGAGCTCTTGGACAGGACGCTCTCTCGTCAAGACTAGAGATGTGAACGAGTATATGAGTCGAGGATTGATCAGAAAGGAAGAATTCAATCAAGCTATGAAGAATGAAGGTCGAAGTGGTGTAATGGCAAGTATGCAATACCTCACACGCATGACCGCGAGTTCAAATTTCGGATCGATATTGCCTGGTTAAATTAAGCCTTCCATCCCCAAGGTTGATTAATTGGCACCAGATTCGTCCGGAAAGATAAAAGCACAGACTTGCACAGGACACCGTAAATAATTGTATAAGCCACGCTTGCATTCAAAACGCCACTGCGACTCTGAATCGAAGTCGAATGCTGGGGCGTATCCCTCATAGGGGATTGACCAACGCTCATTGATGCGAAACTTCTCTTCATGTGAGTGAATACTGAGATTGACTACACCTAAAAACAGCATAAACAAGAAACCTTTCTAAAGCGAACAAATTGTACTGTTCGCTATTTATTAGGCCATCCCATTCAAAAGTTCGCAAGCTTTTATTCGAATAAAATGAACAGCAAATGAGATAAAAAGCTAATATTCTGTCAGATAGGCTCCATCACTGTCGACGACCCTCTCCCAGCGTTCAGGTAGCATCTGGACACCAAGTAGCTACTTTCTTCAACAAGTGCAGGTAAAATGCTGTTGATGTCCATTTCGGCGATCGACCAGTTGTCAAAGCGTTTTTCACTGAGACGTATCTTCATATGACCGTAGCAGTTGAAGTCGCACGGCTGGAGGTCGGGAGAATACGGCGGTTGAATCCAGGTTTCAATTTTCTTTTCTTCAAAAAACTGCTGCGCAATTCGAGATGCGTGGGGCTTGGCATTGTCACGAGCGACAATTGCCTTCTTGAAGTTGTGTGCTGCCATCCAATCAGAAAAAATGACCGTTACTGCTGAAGTGTATCGTCGAGAAACTGGCGATACACTACAGCAGTGACGGTCATTTTTTCTGAACAGAGTCGCCAGAACGCCACGCCCCAGAAATCCATTGCTATGATGAGCATCCGTTTGGAACCACGTAACTCTTCATAACCAATTCGTGCGGATCATCATCGGCGTCCATCCAAACCCGACGCTTGTGACTTTTAGGCTCAGTGTACGAACCCATCCATGTTTCAACTATAGCCAACGTTCGTTACAAGAGTCGCGGGGGGCGTCGGTGGCGGAGAAGATTATTTCTACAGGCATCAACTTGGCTTTAGACCTGTGCTCCTGTAAGTAAATGAGGTACCCATACACACATCTTCCTGGCCTTCAATTCTTTGACACAACTCGGTCAACGGTAGTAGCAGCAATGCCGGTCTCGCGGACAAATTCGACATTGGTCTAGTCTCCGCGCACAGCCATTCAACGCTTGATTTCAGCTACTCGTTCTTCGTGTGCGGAGTGAACATCGTGAGCACCACCTCGGCCCCCACTTGTCTCCGTTCTTCATTCTTTGAACATTCGCACTCATTTCTCCACAATACGCTTGGAGAACTCCGTCTCGTCCAATTGTTGATTGAGCTCACGATGAATTTGAGCGGCGGATTTTCCTTGGGGTAAATTTGCCGCTCAAATGGGTATAACGCCCCATTTGATAACCACGCGTTGATCCTGCTCAGTAATACTTCTTCTCAGTTTGGCATCTTTCATAGTCCACGAACGGTCGCTGGCGACTGGCGATCAGTCGCGCGACCGGTCGTGGACTATGAAAGATCCTTTCTCAATATTTTCTGCTGCAGCCATGATGTCGAAATCGGGCAGTGTCGTAGCTGACGGTACTCGCTTCTGATCAAAACAATGCCGAAGGTGACAGCCTCTTTCCTAATCCCGTGATCCCTCTGGATGTATACGAACTTTTGAATAGGGTGACCACTTACTTTTGAATAGGATGACCACTTATTATGATAGTAGTACGCAATGAGAGATGACAAGCCTGTTTATGCTGTATACTCGTGAACGTGAGACGCACGCCTGTTGGAAAAGACACGACTCACTCCAACCGCGTTTGACATTTGACAAAACATTTGACGTTTGAGTCACTCCAACCGCACATGTAAGGGGCCCCCCAAACGTGCCACGTAGATGGATTTCCCCAACCATCCGTTACATATGCGACGTAACAAAAATAATCTGCGATCAGTACAACTACGAGTGATTGGTGCCATATTGGTACGCAACTGTAGACTTTTTTCATGGGTAGTTATAAGTGAAAATAACAAAAAAAAACAATTCGTAACACGGTGCGGAGTAAAAAAAAAAAACGCCCGGCGCATACGTTGCAATAGGTGAATGTGAATTCTTATGTGAATTCTATGAGATTTCGCGCTATCCTTTAATGTTTCCTGGAATTCCTGGAGGAAGGAAAGGTTACAGAGAACACCGCTTATGCAGTAGGGGGCGAGCAAGAAGAGGAAGTTATACTTCTTTTATGACCACGATGAGTTCTAGTGTTCGCCAACACTGTTTATTCGACAAATGTTATCACGAGTTATTGGTAGAGTTCGATGCTGAATACCTCCACAACTCTGAGAATAAGGCACTTCTGAGCGGGGGTCAGTGGAGCATAATCAAAAGGATACTGAGAGACCACAAGGGTGACGATGACGACAAAGGAAATATAATTTCGATGGATGACAGTTAATTAAAAAACGATAAATGACCATATTCATCAAAATGT